AGCTGGGGGGAATGCAAATACACACTTCCCCGGCCCAGGGCGCCCCCGAGAGAACCGCAAATACACGCTTCCCTGGCCCAGGGCGGCCGCGGTGTAACGCGGCGCCGAAGCGGCCCCCAACGGCCCGAAGACGCCCCAAAAGGCCTCGAAGGACACCAAATAATGCCGCGCAGCAATCCGAAAACAAGAGAGATGTCACATGTCATGGACCTCTTACACGTCAAAGCTCCACGCGCCGCCATATAGACCACTGCTCCGGCAGGGGGGCGGACCTTGCCGCAGGCACCTATAATTTACATGTTAGCGATGCGATTGTGCTCGGCGGCCGTGCCGCCCGCATTTTGGGTGCGCCCCGAACTCTCGCATTGGCAATCCCCTCTGTTTGGTTGCGCCGCTGTGCTCAGGTATCGAAGAAGCATTTACCGCTGACGCGGGCACGCGGCACCAGGGACTTCACTTTTCGAACAAGGAGGGTGGACGAGGTAGGACGACGGACGGCGGAGCAGGGAGGCAAAGAGGAACGAGGAATAATAAGGGAGGTGGGAAGGGGCGCTCCCCCGCCCGAGCCGCGGACGCTTTCGACACCATCAATGGGAGGGAAGAAAGGAAGCGGAACGGAGCAAGGGCGAGGACGACGACGGGAAGCAAAGTGTCCCGGGTCCGCATATAGCCATCTGTCTGCGATTCGGGTGCGCGCGCTTTCTTCGAGGCACTTCAAGCCGGACCCATGCTGAATTCACGAATTCCTCAAAACTGTGTAAACACTCTGTCCTCTGTTCCCTCTCCTATACAACGGCCTCATAACAGAGGGGCAGTGGATACCAATCTGGGGTGCGCACGGCCACGCCATGCGCGGTGGAAAGGTCGGGCGGGCCTGCGTTTGTTATCTGGGGTCGGTGCATTGCGGCGCGCGCGTGGGTTCGCGGAAGGTTGGGTCGGTCGGCTTGGCGGATGTCAAGGGCTGTGGCTTTCTTGGCTGAAATGCGCCAGGGACAGGTTGGGTTTGAGGTGCTCGAATAAAGTGCCACCGTCGGCGTTGGAGAAATTGGCTGAGGGGGGCGAGGGCCTCGGGGCGGCATGGACACATCATGGGCCCCATGGCGGCGGTTCACGCAGCCCGCCGCCCGAAGAGGTCGCAGGACCTTGGGCGCGGGATGCAGCGACAGCTCGCGGCGGATGGTTCGGCACATGTCGGCGAGCTTGGAATTTGCGCAGGCCGACCTAGCGTGCTAGCCGCAGCTGGGCGATGTTGAATTTTGTTTGCGCTGCGATGGTTCCTTGGGTGTGGCGTCGGCGGGGTTGGCCGCTGTTCGCGGGCGTTGAGATACGTTGGCGGCCAAGCTTTCTCTGCGCGTAGATGGGCGGTGGTGGGGAGACCTGCTGGAGCGCAGGCGGGTTTGCGCCAAGGGGCGGTCGTCGATGTTGATTGGCGCGGCGGGCCAGAAGAACTGACGCGCGTCGGTTTCAGAAGGCCGGTAAGGCGTGGCGTGGTCGGCGTAGCTGGCGGTGGTCGGTGGTTTTGGCATTCCAAACTGGGCAGGGGTTGCCGCTGCCTGGGCTTCGCACGCTCGCGGCGGGGTCAAAGAGGTCGAGTTTGTGCCAGCATGGTTGTGACATGGGTTGGTGGTGCAGCGTTAGAATGCATGGAGGGGAGTCGCGCTTGCGCGGCCTGTGGCGCATGACCAGGGCTGGCCTCGGGGCAGCTGGCGGGGTTTAAAGCATCCTGGTTCGCGCAAGCAACCAGCAGTTGTGGTGGTGGCATGGGTTGGAGGAGGCTCGCATAAATTCAAGTGGGTTGCGCTGGTCAGTCGGACGCTTGCGCTGCCTTGTATCGAAGAGCAAGCAGAAACTGTGTCAGGCTGCGGACGGGCGGCCTGCGGGCGATGCAATAGGTTTGGCATGGAACCGCGGGCGGCGAGTGAACATGTCTGCCTTCCACGCGCATGCAAAACGCGCGGCGGCCTGGTGGGCGGCCCGCGGGAACGTGTTGCTTTGGTCGGGGAGGCGGCGGCCGATGTGGCCTGGCGTTGTAGCGTTGGCAGGAGTTGATGCAGATTGCCTTCGGCGCGCTCGCAGTGGGCGGTGTATATTGGGAGCGAGGGTGGTGCCAGGTGGCGGCGTACCTTAGGCGCCACGGTGTTGCGCAAGTTGGGGCTAACACAGTCTCAAGGCTTGCGGTGGCTTGGACCGTTGGCGTAGGCAGCGGGGGTTGAAGTGTCCGAGTATTCGAGAGCCCGCGCAGATTGCCATCGGTTGTACATAGAAAGCTGACTCGCGGAATATGACGCACATGGTGGTGGCGCGCGCCGCGGCGTCGTTCGGGCCAGCTGGGGCTGCTTCGGCATGGCGCTTCTGGCAACGCGCATCGGTTCGTAATTGCAGCGCAGAACAAAAGCACTGGGCGGGCCAGCGCCTGCGACCCGCCCGCGGCGCGCCCGCCTCGCGGCGCGTTGGCGGCCCATCGGCGCGGCCGCCCGCCCGCCGAAGAAAGCGCAGCGCGGCCGCGGCACGGCCCCGACATTGCCCGAGGATACTTGGTAAACGCACCAACGCGGTCGCGCGAACGCGTTCTCGCGATGTCGGTCTCTGGGTATCATTGCGCAGCTGCTTTCGGACCCTCTTGGGATTGTTTCGGCGCCCTCTTAGGCCCAAAGGCTTTGCGATGGTCGGTCGGGGGGGCGGGCCACACGACGGCCTCGATAGGGCCCACGCGACATCAAAAGGCAGGGCATCACAAACCGCCACGGGGAAGAGCGCCAACGCGACCGACCTCGGGGTACCACCCGATCTAACCGTGGGGTAATCGAGACGCCATGTTAGGCCAATATGCCCCCTCGCCCCCGTCCGCCAGGGCCCGAGGCACCGTGCCCCAGGAACGCCCCAACGTTGCCCAGACGAACGCCCAACACCCCGATCACGCAAGAACGATCGCGCAACCGCTCTTGGGGCCGCATTGGCCGACGTGCATCGGAGTCGTCTCTGCGCCCCCATGGGGCGCTGCAACGAACGACGCGGCCCCTCAGGCGCTGCCGCGGAGGGCACCGCAAACAGTTCCGAGACGCCCTTGGTGGCGGAAGGGCGCCACCAAGCTTCTCGGGCAGTCGCGCGAACGCTGCCTGGTGTGACATCTCTTGTTGCCTTCCTGCGCCCGCGCCCCGCGCGCGGCACGTTCGTGACCCATCGGTGCCGCGCCCCGCCCGCGCTGCGACCTACCCGCGCAGCGGGCCGCCTGCGCCGCGACGCGCCCGCGCTGCGACGCACCCGCAAGGACGACGACGACGACAACGAGCAAACCACCCATCGCGGATCCCCACTTCAGCGGTGCACCTGGGAGATTGCGAAACCGTTCGGCCGAGCCGCGCTGATATTGCGCTGGGGTCTCTGCACAGTTGGTTTCGGAGGCTGGTTTGGCATGGCGTTTCAATCGCTGCGCGCTTGGTGTTGCTGGGTTGGCATCGGGCGTGACGTCGGCAAGATGCGCCGACTGAGTCCCATCAGCCCTCTGGGCGCCGGTGGTTGAAAGAGTTTCCAATTCCGCCCCTCCTTCTTCCTTCGGGGAAGGGGTCCCCCCCCCTACGCCCTCTCCATGGACCTGGACAGGGGGTGGCGCGAGTCGTCGGGGCACCCGGAACGGCCTCGGCGAGGAAGCCAACATCATAAGTTGCATTCGGGTATTGGCCCCATGTTGGCCTCCTGGGGGGGGGCTAATTAAAGCCCCCCTCATGTTTGGTCGATCTCCTCCAAGATGGCCCCAAGAAGCGCCCATGAGGCCCCGAGAGGTTCCACGATGGCCCCAATATGGCCCCAGGAGACCCCCAATGGGGCACCCAGGAGGCCCCAAATAGACCCCCAAGAGGCCCCGAAAGACCCCCCCATCGACGCCCAAGATGCTCCAAGGGGCCTCGGCGAGAATGCCAAATCAATGATTCAATTGGGGTTTTAGCCGCTAACATGTTGGCCTCGCGTGGGGGGGTCACGGACTAAGATGACCCCAACAGCGCCTGGGGGGGCCCAAAGCGACCTCCAAACCCAAGACATCTCAAGGTATCTCACATTGGCTTCCTCTGCGTGCTGCCCCACTTCCCTGGTCGAGGCAATTCGACTGGGCATCGTTTATGGATGGGCTGGCGGGGATTCGCGAAGCGTCAACATTTTTTACGGTTATGATGGCACGATGTCGGCGCCGAGTTCGGCTGGCTCGGGGCCAACGGGCGGGGCGGCGACGCCAAGGCACGGGCGCTGAGGGACAGAAAGAAAAGTATGAGGGGAGTGCGCATGATCCTGGACGCGCCCCATAAGGGGGCAACGCGGCGTGTTGAGCCAAGCGGCAATGCGCGCCCTTATGTTCCCGCTCATCCCTCATCGTCATCCCTCTCTCCCCCTCTGTCTGTTTGGTTCCTGCCATTCGCTGTTATGTTGCTGATGTCCTGCCCCTTCTCGGTTATGCTTCCGTCTGCCCGCGGATCGTAACTCGCGGGATGTTGTCAGAAATGGCACGCCCCAATTCGGCGCACCCCTCGCACGGATCGCGGCCCGCGGGGCCCGTTGGACTGACCGAGCAGCTAGCAGAATGAACTGTGTATGCGGCGAGGGCGGGGGGGGGGGGTCGGCGGAACCCTGGCACTGCGAATGCAAACACCGCCGTCGAAAGACCCCATGGATCAGAAGCTCAGGCCAGGTCGGCCCCGCCCCACCCGCGCCCAGGAATCCGAGAGGAAGAGGAGGTGGGGGCAGAGCCCAAAACATCCCACAACAGCCCAAGACCAAGGCCAAACAACACATCGCATCTGGAAGGGCTGGCGGGGATGGTGCGCCACGCGCGAAACGCACATAATCTACAATGAGAACGCCGTGCTCGAGTCGGAAGGGTCGAGGCGCGAGCCATCGCATAGAGCATAAGAAGACATCAAGTGGCAACGCATTTTACAAGAACTCGATAGGCTCTGCTCCAGGATCCTGGCCTGGAGGAACGAACTCCTCTGCAATCAACGCAAGGCCGCCAGGCAACAGAGCGAGCCGCTCTCCGGCCGCGCGGCGCCCCTCGAACGTGGGCCTCCAGCCGCCGTGCACATGGTCATGCCGCGTCGCGGCCCCGGCAGCCGCAAGGCCGCCCTGCCGCTCCAGCCACGACATCATCCACCCGAGCGGGCGGCCTTGACCCTTCTTGTGCCCTGGCGTGGACACGCGAGTGGTGTGGCACGGCAAGTGGCAGACGTGACCAGGGTCCGCGCAGTTGGCCACGAAGTACTTCCGATCAAATGTGTCGTAATAGCTGATCCGCCCGAGGCCAGGCACAATAACAACGGTGTGAGCTGGCAGGCCCCCGCCGCCTCCACCGCCAGCAGGCGGCGGAACTGGCGGAGGCGGCGGCGGAGGTGGCGCAGGAGGAGCTGCTGGAACCACTGGCGGCATAGCTGCATCGTCGCCGTCGGAGATGTCATCTGACAATGCGCTGCCGCCAGCCTCAGTGCCTGCGCTATCTCCTGGTTCGCTCTCAGCCGCCAGCTCGTCGCCCTCAGGGTCGGGCTCGTCCGACTCTGCAGCTGCATCGACAGCAACTTCCCCTCCGAGGTCGTCGGGATCGCCATCGTCATCTGCGGCCGCCAGGGCCGCCCAAGAAGCAAATCCATCCGCGGACCTCTTCGCTCCCTTTGGGATCCATATCGGGCGCAGGCCAGCAGACTTCTGTTTCACGAAACACTTGTTCGGCGCGAAATCGCCCACGATGTCGGCGCCAAAATAAACCTCAAGCCAGGCGCAATCCCAGCGAAGCGTTGTCCGCATGGTGGCGGTCAGCTCGTACTGCGTGAAACTGGTGCTTGGTGTCGGCGAGCCTCACTAGCCCATCGGGTCGGTGACGCGCCCACTGGTTGGCTGCTTCGTCCCATGATCGCTGTCGAAAGCGGTCGCGGACATCCTCATCGGGGCCCAGCTCCAAGAACGTAATCTCCCATGGCTTCTCCAAGGTGAACGCCACGAGGAGAAAGATCACTTCGTCTGCGAGCGCGCCGAGGTCGAACGCGACCTTCCCTGCAGCGTCTGTCGGCAAGCAGCTCTGCCCCAACAACGCAATGACAACGTGGCTCGCGACGAACTGTCTCCGTAGGTCGCCCCTAGGATACAGCCGTCTGGCGCGGGCGTTGATAGCGTTCAGCATGGAGATGCTCGCGCGCCCAGCCTTCGAACACACGCAGCGATTCGCGGCGTGGCAGATGTAGTCTGAGAGCGGGGGGGGGGGGCGCAGACCCTGGACCAGCGAGCTTGGACGTCGGCTGCTGCGCGGTCCCGCAGCGGTCGCGGAAGACGCCGACCAAGGCCTTATGGAGCTCGCTGATCCCACTCTGCCTGTATTTTCTGACATCGATGGTCGCGATGGCCTCGGCGAGCCTCTTCAGCTCTGACCACCGCTGCGACAAGAAAACCAGGTCGCCTCCGCCAACTCCATTCCACGGGGGGCCCCCCTCGTCGTTGTGCGGCACGTCGCGAACTGCAGCAAAAGTGGACGAGGCCGCCGCCACAATGCCGTCCAGCGACAAGTCATCCTGAGCACATCGGCGGTCTTCCTCCGCTGATTTCTCGCGCTGGAGCTTGTGACGGTGCCGTGCGAGGACCCTGAATTCCTCCGCCCGCTGCAAGACATCCGCGCGCTCCAAACGAACAAGCTGGGCACCTGCTAGGGGCGGCAAGCCGCGCGGCACGATGGCCAGCGCCTGGCTCCGGATGGCCCGACCACCGTACGGGGTTGGGTTCCCAGCAGCCTTGGCGGCGTCGGCATCGTCGCAGCGCTGCATGAGCTGCTCGACCTCAGCATCGGTCAAGTCCCAGTACCTGTCGCCAATGCCAGGCGCGTATCTGCCGTCGCCACCCGTCGCGCCAGATCGCTCCTGGCAGCGCAACCCAAACAGAGCCCGAACCAAACGCAATCGCCGAAACCAGTTCGCCACCGTCGGTCGATAAGTTTCGGCGTTCGACGGAGGGAAAAAGCTCCTGCGATTGAGTTTACATTGGGCCCCGATTCGTTGCGCTGCAATCCTGCGCAAGAAAAGCATTGTATACAGATGTCCGCCGCCGCTTCGGCTGATACGCCCTGTCCACATCGGCTGGGGCGGGCTGCTGCCGTTGGTCACGGCGGGGCCGCCGCGCGCCCCAAAGGCCCCTCGCCTCTTTTTCGAGCCAGTCCATCAACCAAAAAATATTCACCCCTCTTGTGTCCACAGCCCGTTGTTGCACACCTCTGCCCTGGACGAAGCGACGGATTCGCTGGTGCCTGTACTCAATGAGGATTGTTTCCAACCGAGCTTTCATGGCAAGGACGAGGACATCCATCCTGGCAGCTGTGGACCTGAGGTTGCCTTCGTAATAATCATAAAAAGAGCGGGAACCAGCATCGAGCCGCTTCGGACAGACGGCATCGGCCTCAACATCGTCAATGAGGTGGTCATGGACGCATGTAGCAATGAGCTTACAAGGGTAATTACTGTTGAACACCTTCTGGTTATGGTTGAGGGCGCCCGCCCGAGCCAGAAGGAGAAACGTCTTTGTCTGGTGAGCCACTGTCCTGCACGTGGGTGGCAAAGGTTCCCATGTGGAGGGGTCGTCCATTAGCTGGTTGTTAGACACTGCAAACTCAGACTCCAGTGTGCCAGCCCAAGCGAGAGGCAAACGAAAATCACGAAGTTGGGCCGTTCCTGGGACATCAGCAGCAGAAGGTCCGCCACTTGCCTCCAGATGGGCCCGCCTACCCTCGTGCACTTTTCTGCGTTGCTCCTTCTCCCAGCCGTCGCCGCCGATGTGCAACTTCCGCCTCGTGATCTGCACGTGCGGTTCCATGGCCACTGGCATTGCAAACGTGTCACCGAAAACAGCACCGCCCCTGTTCCACTCCAGAGTCGATCGCCTGAAGCGGTGCTGTTCGCGAGCTGCATCGTCAGCTGCCTGGCGGCCTTGGCGCCCCTCTGGGCCGACAGCGGCGGCCTCGAGGCCGTCGGGGCCGTCTGGGGCAAGGCCGTCAGGGACGGCCTCGTCGTCCAGCGCCAGCGGCGCCGCCGCGCCCTCGATGGCTGGGGCGCCAGCCGCGGCGGCAGCAGCATGACCGTCAGGATCGGCGCCCGCGGCGCCATCGTGCTCGAGGCTGCCCACCAAACGTGAAAACACATCGTAAGCAGATTCCCATATTCCGAGCATTGCAAGCAGAGCGACCCAACGCATCCCTTCTTCACACTTAACCCACTTGTTGCTCGGAAAAGAACCAGGACCAGTGCCGAATAAACCCGCCCAGCCCTGTTGGGCGCAACGCGGTGCAGGAGGCTCGCCCCCCCCCCACCCATCGAGACTCCGTCTCCGCACGTTCTGCCCTGGGGCCCTGGGGCCCGCGAGAGCACCGAGAGAACCGAAAACGAAACAACCCAAGATGGGCCCCTTAGCGGGTTCCATGAGCATGGGGCCGCACTTGCGGCCCTAGCGTGGCCCACCTGGAGTCCTTTGGAGCTTTCTCAGGGCCCTATCATCGGAGGCCCAACGAAGCAGTGCCGACCCCGTCGCAGGCCTTCCACGGCCCCGAGAGGGCCCCGCCCCAGACCTCCAAAATTGAGGTGCCCCTGCAACCTTTTGCGTGACTTCTGCAAGCCCCGTTGTTGCGTTTGCGGGGCAGCCCCGAGGATATCTTGGAGATGCCCCTTCGCCGCGCGAGGGCGGCCCGCGGCCTTCGGAGAGCCCCATGGAAACCCCAAGGAGGGCCAGCAACAGCAGCAGGATGAAGGGGGGGGGAGGGGGAGGGGGAGCAGGGGGAGGAGGAGGAGGAGGGGAAGGAGGAAGGGGAGGGGGAGGAGGGGCAGGAGGAGGAGGGCGAGGAGGAGAAGGCGGAGGAGAATGAGGAGGATGGGGGAGGGGCATGAGGAGGATAGTCTCTGAAATGGGCGGTGGCGAAACGCGAAGCGTCGATGATACTTGGCGATCTTAATTTTCCGAGCATGCAGACTGGCATCGCCCTCGCCGTTTGTTGCAACGAACGTGGTCGGGCTGTTCGGAGACCATGCAAACGACCCCAGAATACGTGCTCTCCTCTCTGCATTATCGGTGACATTCGGGACGAGGAAATCCAAACTCCTACACATGGCCTCCCTTTCAGCGTAGCTGTGAACACCGTCCCTCTCCACGGGCATTCTGATCAATACGTTCTTGAGGGCGGTGCGGAACAATTTCAAATGATTCCCGAATGTAATTGATAACAAGGCCCTTCTCAAACGAGAGATATCAAGGCTATGCTGGCCGAAGCTCGCTTGGCGATTATTGCACTGCCGATGGACGTCGCACGTCGTGTGCGAAAAGCTCAAATGATGTGCAACAGTCGGCTGGTGCCGCAGAAATCTGGCGGCCTTCCCGATAGCTTTGTCCCCATCAGTGCAAAACCAAGCGTGCAGCCTACGAAACTTCGGAGTTAGATCACGCAAGCCCAGGATCATTGAAACTCTCCTGTCGCATTCCACGTACACCTCTGCAGTGGTTCGCCCCATACTCAATATTGGAATCGGGGGCTTCCAGCCGAAACAAAAAAAGTTGCCCTGCAATCCAACTGACGCTCGGGGCGTAAGTTAAGGCGTTTAGTGCGCGTGCTTCTAATGTCTCGCATTTGTTTTAGCTTCTTTTTGTACGGGCTGTGGTTTTTTTAATGTGGAAATGACGTAGGGGGTTAATGGGGGGATATTGGTGTGTCCTCTGGCCACGGGGGGCCTCCCTAGCCGACGCAACTAGTTTGGGCATCGCCTCTGGATGGACTGGCGGCGGTGCGCGAAGCGCCACGCATTCAATGAGCATGCACACTTCCACTTCGAGCTGAAGCAGCTTGGCGACGCCAGCGTCGCGAGCTTCATGCTTCTCAGAAAAAAAAACCAGCCACCTCGTCGACCACCTCTTGCGGCAATCCGAAAAACACATTCTTGTCTACGACAGTGAGCCTCAACGGCGTCTCGTCAAAACGCGTGAACACATACAGGGCGTGCAGAACACCGTGGGCGCGAAAGGCCTCGTCTGCAATGCGGTGGATCTGAGCTCGCATGCTGTAGACATAGGCGATCCACGCAGCGGCTGCAGTCAGCTCTGCTTTCGATGCCAGGGTGGCCTCTGGAACGCCAATCCGTTGAGCATGTGACGAGAGTGTCTTGGCAGTCAGCCACGCCCCCTCCCGCCCGACAATGTCCGCCACTATTTTCACCGCATCGGGGTTCGTGGATACGACCATCTGGCATTTCTTGAATGCCTGGCAAATCGTGGCAAAGGCAAGCTCGGTTCGCCGATGCCGCTCCTCCGACGGCGATGGCCCCTCGGGGCCCACAGGAATCGCCACCGCCAGGACGTCGCCTGCGGGCCCTGCTGCTGGGGCCTGTGCGGGTCGCAAACCTTCAGAAGAGATTGTGGTGTGGTTTCGTAACAAAAAACCCTCCACGCCATCCCCCCCCTCCCCCGCTCCTCGCGTCTCGCTCGTCCTCGCCATTCCTCGTTGCCCCGTCCGCCCCTCACCAGCACCGTTCCGCGTCGTCCCTCTCTCCCCCTCATCATTCGGCAGATGTTTCCTCGCATCCCCCTCATGCATCATCCATGCCGCGCCCCCGTCACAACCCTCATCGTCGCTCTGCTGTTCATGAGTTTGCCCCCAGTGCCGTCCACTTCGCGCCTCCCCGTCATGGCGTTGCTCCTCTTCCCTTCGCCTGTCGTCCAGAGCCCCCCCCCCCCCGTCGCCCTCATCGCCGCCCCCCTCCTCCGAGACCTCCTCCCCCCCAAACCGTCATCCCCCCCAGCACCCCCCCCCCCCCCCACCCGAAGGTTTGCGGCCCTGTCATTGTGGCCCCACGGGGGCCTCATCGCCAGGGGGAGCTGCGCCCGCTGCTGGGGCGCCCCTCAAGGCCCCTCTGGCGCGCGAGCCGCTCTCAACCCAGAGACGGCGAAGCTGGCTGGGCGTCTCGGCCAACGGCGGGCCCAGCAGTGCAATCGGACCTGGAGCGCCGTCAGGAGCTGCCGCCGCCGCTCCAGCGGCGCCGCGCGGCACAAGTGCCACTGGGGCCGCGCCGCCAGCGGCCGCGCCAGGACCAGGAGCGGCGACGCCGCCAGGCACGTCCGCGCCAGCGGCGCCGTGGGCAGCGGCTCCGTCGTCGGGCGAGCCGTCGCCCGCCCGCTCGCCCCAGCGGGCGCTCCCGGAGCCGCTGTCATCGTCGACGGCCGACTCAGCGCCCCACTGATCCCAGCACCCCTCCTCCTCCATGCCAGCGATGGCCGAGGGCGCGCGCTCGGCCACTGCGGACGCAGCGTTGGCGACACACTCTGGCGAACACGGGCCCGAAATGACATGGCAAAGGAACGGGTTTGAACAAATGTCAACGGATGGAGGGGGGGAGGCTCGGAATGCAGATGCATTATAGGAGCAGGAGGAGCAAGGGGAGGCATCGTGGACCTGTGCGCGCCCATCGGGCGAGGCCATCCCTCGAACGCGGCGCCAGCACATCTCTTTTCATCTCTAGATCCCGCCGCGGACGTATCTTCTGGACACGGCTCGGACACCAGCAGTCGGCCACGGGCGAAACAGTGAGAGAACGAGCACCGCCGACAGTCTTCGAGCATGCACCGCACCGTTCTTCGAGACACCCATGGATATCAGAAGGAGGATTAGACACGGCAGCGGTTGTTTACTTAACAACCCAGGCTGGAAGCATGCCCAAACAATGCTTGCATTCGGGCTATGTCCAAACAGTGCCCGCACGTGTGTTGAGCCCAAACAGCGTGCCCCAAAACAGTGCTTGCACGTCGGCCTTCTGCCCAAGCAGTGCTTGCACTTTGGTTGTGCCCAAACCGCGTTTCCCCAAACAGTGCTTGCACGCGTGCAGACCAATACACGTCCATTGATATCCCCCCCTTTCCCCATTGATTTCAAACCCAGTGTGGCACATTGTATGGTATGTGATGATGACAGCAATCCCCATGACAAACGTACAACTTTCTAACATAAATGGTCATCCGAATAGGTTCGAGAACAGGGTGCGTCAACGCACACGCAAATCTAACACCACCTGTGGGCGGCGTATGGCTCTTAAAAGGAGAAGAAACGCCATGACGGCAACGCAACATGCATGCGATGAGGCAGCACGCGTGATGAGGTCATAGTGCCTGTCCCTCGGACTTCGGCGGATCCACGTTGCACGTGGCAGTGGATGGAGGCCCCGAACATAAGGGCGTGTCCCTCCCCCTCAGCGTCATATTCCTCGTCCTCCTCCTCCTCCGCATCCTCTTACTCCTCCACCTCCTCCTGCTCAGCGTCCCCACCTCCTCCTCCCAACTATCTCCTGAGAATGGGCGCCATGCTCCCTCACTCTCGGCTCAGGCAGTGGCTTCGCTTGACGCCGCGCACACTCGCAGATACTATGTGTCGTTTACTGGCCTCGGAGGAGGAGGAGGGGATGAGGAGGAGGAGGAGGAGGACGAGGAGGAGGAGGAGGAGGAAAAGGAGGAGGAGGAACACCGATGAGATCTTCTCGGGGCCCGTCAAGGCCACGCGGGATTCCAGCTTGCGCACGCGGGACATAGCAACTTCTCTGATTATGTGTTAAGACTGCGCATGACGAACCCAAAGATCAGGATCAAGGGGGCCAGCTTCCGTGAACATGGCTCCGCACTCTCCAGGGGAGCCAGGATGCCTTGAGACCCACCTTGGAAGTTTGAGTACTTCACAGGGGTGACGCGGACGAGCAGCCAAAGCAAGACATACTGGAAAATGATCAGTTGTACATGCTTGCTTAACCATAACAACAACGGCCGCGCGTGGAACATTAGACATTATGGAAGATTCAAGCCAGCAGTTGGCGAAATATTTTGATCGGCGTGTCATTGAATCTCAGTGCGGGGAGCATTGCTTCTCTGAGTTCCCAAAGGTCCAGAACCATGGCTGTTGTTTCCTCAGCGACGTGAATTCAAACATTCCCCCTGGCTTGCCTCGCGCGCGGAATGCAATATCCAAAATTGTACCCAAGTTTGATACTTCAGTTGGTAACATCGGTGGACATTGCGAAACTTCTGTGGGAAATTCAATGACGGGGGTGCACGACGTGACATTCATCGCACAATCATTATCTGCAGTTCTCGACGCGCACAAGAGGGAATTCGGCGGACAATCGCCGAGGAGTTCAAAACAACATGCGGGGATTTCGTCATCACACCCGTCGAAAAAGCACGGGAGGCGATGGCATTTTTGTGTCCATGTACGCATGCTTACTGTGCACGCGCATATCTGGATACATCTGGTACTGTTACCATATCAAATGCGCAGCAAGAATCCTTCGCGGCGAAGTTTCCTACATTCCCGAATCGCTTGATCGAGTTACCTTTTTTCTCTCCAAACAGACGCCCGCCATCAATTTGGGCCACTCACATTGTAGGGTAAAATTGAACCGATCCTTCCCGGAGCGCAGCCTGGGATGAACTCAAATTCCGCCCTTTGATTGCATGGAAGAAACATCACTGGAGGGTACCATTTCCTGGTGCATGCCGCGCAATCAATCGCATCCAAAGCGCTTTCGCCCAGGCTTTTCTGCTTTGTCAATGGGGGAACTCCGTGCCAACATCGTCAACTTCAACAATGCCGTTCCCAATTCAACCTGTCTTCAATTGTGTTTGAATGTCGGCGACATTGGAAACTTTTCCCCCTCAGCTCTCTCGCAACGACCTGCTGGCGCGCCGGAAAAAAAGAGGGTGGAGAGGACGGGAAGTCGGAAGGTCAAGGGGAGCGGAGGGGATGGGAGGGGTGAAGGGGGGAAGGGAATGGGGTGGAGCGGGGGGGGGGGGAGGGGCAAGGAAGGGAAGGGGAGGGGACAAGATATCCAAACGACACATACGAGGGCAAGCCCGATCTGCAGGGAGCACCATCGGGGTATACCAGGGCACAGACGGGGCAGCGAGAAATCAGCAGCTGCGGCAGCTTCGCCGAGGCTCTCGCGCGCGCACGGGGCTCCTCCATCTGGTTGGTCAACGCCTCCGCACCCGATCCGAGGATTACGCCGAGCAGAGCTTAAGAGGCATGCCGCACGCTCGACAGGGCGCCTCTCCTCGTCCAATCCGCCCGTTCTCTTCCTCCCTCCCTCCGCGTTTCCCCCTCCTCCTCCCGCCTCCTCACCCTCTTCCTCCTCCTCCTCCTCCTCCATTCCTTCTCCCTATGAATAACTGATCCTTGTCGCACCCCGGGGCCAATTTTTAGGGCGGACCGGGCGTTTCGCCTCAGAATTTCTGAATTTCTCACCATTATGACTCTGAATCTTACAAATTGGCAACAGCTCCACATATGGAGGGCGGGTCAATTCCAACATGTGGCTGTCGCATTAGCGCCTCGCACGCTCGTCTTACAACATTGTAAGAATTTCACGGATTGAGGTCGAGTCGTTTTCAAAAGGTGGCTCTCGCCTTAACCCGCGCACACTCGTCTTACATGCAAGAACTTAACGGATTGAAGGCGAGTCGTTTTCAAAATGTGGCTCTCGCCTTCACGCCGCGCACACTCGTATTAACATCTTGCAATAATTGCACGGATTGGGTGAGAATCGTTTTCAAAGTGTGGCTCCCGCCTTCGCCCCGCGCGCATTCGTCTTAAACAGTTGCAGCATTTCACGGATCGATGGCGAATCGTTTTCAATATGTGACTCTCGCTTTGGCGCCGCACGCACTCGTCTTAAAAATTACGATAGCTTCACGGACCACCCATGATCAACGTACCAAACATGTTCTTTGGGACGGATCCAAGCTTATGCGGTGCTCAAGTCCCAGGAATCGCGTTCTGGTACGATTCAGGATCGTCGAGGCGCAGCAGTCAGGTTGACCCGTGGCTTTGAAATCCCGAGAACAATGTTTTGGCATGCTTCAGGGCCTTCAAACAATTGTTTTCCAACGAGGCAGTTCCCTGAGTCAGAATGGAACGTTGTAGGGGCCTATGGAGAGGGAGCTTGGAGGAAGGGTTTACTCAAACATCGTTGATGCCTCTTGGAATAAAACTAAGATTCCTCCAAATATTCCTCCTCCTCTTCCTCCTCCTCTTCCTCCTCCTCTTCTTCGTCCTCCTCATCCTTCCTCCTCCTCCCTCCTCCTCCTCCTCCTCCTCCTCCTCATCCCCCTCCTCATCCTCCTTCAAGCTCCTTCAGGCTGCGGAACGTCTGCCTCCAAGAGAAACACGACGCTCAGGGTGAAGCTAAATAGTGATTAGGAGGTGGTGGGGCGGAAGCACCTGCTCACTACGCAGTTGGTGGACGGGCGCTTCCCGTCTTTGAGCAGCCTGAAGGTATTCTCGCATCCTTGTTGCGGGGTTTCCCGCAACAGGGACTTCCGAGCAAGCGGAGCCCCGAAGACCCAAAGGCAGCGCATCTGGAGCACCGCACCAGGGAGGGGCCCATGAGCCACAGCCTGTTGCTCTCGTCGGCCAGGCGGGCCAACCTCGGGGGCCCAGTGCATAGCATAGCACGCACAATTCGCTCGGAGAGCCCACGGGCCCCACAGCGGGTGCACAGAAACGCCTTCCCAGCCTTGCTGGCACGTTGCGCGACGTGGCCTTCCCGGTCGGGCACGGGCAGCAAGCCATCAAACGTCGGCGCACGGGGCTTCTTTACCCGCTGGACGTCGGGGAAATGCCGAAGAGACAAATGTTTACCGAAGGCGCCAATCAGATTACAGACCAGTCTCAGCGAACTGCGGCAACCCTGGCACTTACGACAGAACAGGGTTGGCAACGTGGGAACTGGCACCCCGCACAGCAAGCCTATCAGCCGAAGCGTGGCCGAACCAGGCCCAGGCCGGCACGTTGGAAGTCCTGGAGCAAGAATGCCACATGATATGGGCCTTGATTTTACGGACCTCGATGTCCCCGAACCCGATATCGACGGCCAGGAAAACACCTCATCACACAACTCGAAGTATACATTTACATACATATACACATATGTACATACATATACATATATATATATATATATATGTATATATATGTGGAACAACAGCCCCCAACACAAACAAACAAAACAAAACGCGAGAGCAGTCCGCGTCGGGACCGCAATGCCACACGTCAATGACAACCTGGCAGTCACTATCAATGACAAGAGAACCAGGGGCAGCCAGACGGATGGCCATGAAAAGAGCAAATACCTCACCCCCTCCGCTGCTTTGGGGGGGGGGGGGGGCGGGTGGGCGGGGGGGCGGAGGGAGGGGGGATGGGTGGGGTGCGCGCTCCCGTCAGAGCCGCCAACATCTCGCATACTGACTACAGCCCAACCTGCCCTGGCCGAAAAGGAATTGTCCTGGTCGAGGCCCGACCCTCCGACGCAGAGACGAGGGCCCAACAGGTCAGAGGCAGGGCGACGGTGCCAGCGGCGGGAACGGGCCATGGACAACGTGGGCCAGTCAGCCCCAGGGCCTGGCGCTAGGGCTCTGGAAAACAGAAGATCACACTCGGGCCTACCCACGCCTTCTCGCACGGCGCTGTACAGGTCAAGGCCGCGACGGAACAGGTGGAAGCCAGGGCGCTCGTGGAACCCGCGCTTCGGGGTTCCTTCTGCCTTCCCGCGCGCCATGCATCGAGGGGCGATGACTTTTCTATCCCTGTAGAGCTGCAGCTGACGCGGGCGCCCTCATGCGATCGCCCCGCCGGGGGAGATGGCGGCCTCTAGGTCGCCACCTTGTTCGGAAGCTCTGGAGCTCCCCTCTGATGACTGTGATCGGCGGCGGCTTGGGCGCACCATCGGTGGACGGGATGGCCGCGCGCCGCAACGGCTGGCGATGGGTGCCGCGCGCAACGAGGGATCCGACGGAGTGGCGGCCGAAGGAAGACAGGTCGAGAGAGAGAGATCACATCTTCGATGTCCCACTTGTCGAACTCCTTCCCTTCCCAACCGATACCTTGCAACGTAGCCGGGGCCGCGCTGGCGGGGCAGGGGATGGACGACCACTTGACTGCCCCTCCTCTGGCCCGGCAGTGCTTCCAGCACCTGTCCAACATGGGGCGGGGCAGCAAGCTCTGGATGATGGCTTGGTGCCGCATGCTTAGCTCGCGGCCATCGTCGAGGAAGAACTGGGTGGCCCCGCTGCTGCCCCGAGCGGGCCTAAAGGCAGCGCTGCCGGCTGCGCGAGCCGCGCCTGGAATGCGCGGGGATCGTGGCTTCGATCCGATGGGCCCCTTGCGCTCAACCTCGAAAAGCACGCGATGCCCCTGCGACGTCGCGAGCGGCCACCTTGGGCCCGCCCCGAGCGCTGCTACGCGGGGCCCGCGATGGCGGAGCAGGGAAGGGCCCAAGAAGGTGCTCTTTGGAGAAAGGCCTGGGGCCGTGAAGGGCCTTGACCTCTGCTTCCGAGGGGGTGCCCTCCAGCTCCGGAGTCGCAGCGAAATGAAGCGAGGTGGTCCTGGTGTCGTTGCGGCCGACGCGTCCCACGGAAACCTCGAGACCACGTGAGACAATGTGAGACAACGAGATAATCCAACGCTGTCCACAGCTTGTCCGACATCCTGCACGCGGGGCGACCGGGGCGCAGGATCGCACCGCCGATGCGGTCCACCCAACGCGCGTTGTGGAGATGGGTGGGGCGGGCGTTCCAGTCCCCTCCGATAATGAAGGGGATCTGGAGCTGATGCAACTCCTCGCCTACCCACTTCAAAATCTGGGAGGAGTCCAAGCCTGGCGGGCCCTCGCAGCCTCGGTAAATCGAAAACACCGCAACGGCTCCAGGAACGAAAGCGCTGACCCAGGCCGAGCTGACGCGTTCTGGCTGCGGGAGAGCACGGGGGAGAGGAAGGGCACAGAGCGGAATGCGGGGTCTGGCCGCCGTGCCAGCGCCGCAGCTCCAACCGCCCTGCATGGTCGCGACACTGGGGTTGACGACCGACTTCCCACCGGCATTCTTGATCTGGTTGACCCCCTCGACGGACGGCCCCCCAAAGCAGGGGTCCTGGAAGCAGACGACGGCCCTCTGTGCCTCTTCCTGGAGGTAGGTTTTGAGCGAACCCCGAGACGAAGAATTCGCTGTCAATTGTCGCCCGCTTGAGCAGGGAGCGCGACGGCAGAGTGGGCCGTTGGTCGGCGCTCTCAGCGCAAAAAATCGAGCTGCCCACCGTTGCCCCCAGCATCGCGACGAGCGCAGAGGCGAATTGAGACAGCCGACCGAGATGCACAGGTGGATGCGCGCGGCGCCGCCGTCGAGGCTGACGCACCCGACGCAGGCCCAGACGGCGCCGATGCAAGTCACGAGGCAAGGCGCGCCGATCCCGCCGACTGCGACTAGGCGGGGCGACGGGGCGATGCTCTCGCAGTGCTCGCAGTTCCTGGCGCGGCACACTTCGCGGCGTAGTCGAGCAAAGCATGGGGCCCAGCGCAGGCCGAAACGGTCGCCGTAGCACCCTGTGGCCAGGGCGCGGCAATCGCGGGCTGCCCCCAACCGAGAGGAACTGCAGGCGGAAGAAGTGTCGGGAGGGAAGCCATGCCCCGAACTCGCGGCGCTCTCTGCCCACCATACTCGCACCGACCCATCAAACAAGAGCCCCGCATGGCGGCCCCAGCACCCGGAAGACGCTGGCCTACCGAGGGTTTAGCCCCGCGGGTGTCTCAGCGGTCTCATGGCGGGTGCGCGCGGCGACCAAAGAGGGAGCCGCCGCCCTCGCAGTCGACAGCGCAACCGGGGTCGACCACGCCACTGGAGTAGACGCGATAGCCGCGCTAAATCGAAGGCATCGGAGCATCAGCATCTGTCAGCGCCTTGGCCACATGGAAAGCACGGGCGAACAGCCGCCGGTGGCCCTCGGCGTTACGCGAGACCTGTGTTGCTTCACATCAGCAATTTGGCCCCTGCTGACTTTTTTTCAAAATAATATATTGGGATGAAGCGCTGCCGCTGGATATATCGAGCACAGTTGATCACAACACAAACGCTCCTGCGATCCCCGCCAAAATGGCAAGAAATGGCAAGCTCAGATCCGCATGGCTACATTGCAACCGAACCGCTTGACCACCATCTCGACCGAACTGGCGGAATTCGACCACGCGTCCGACAAAATACGTTCGACGAGGGATGCGCTGCACAATGCCCCGGCCACGGGCAGCGCTACGAGGGAAAGCGGGCCCTTCGATGTGTCACTTTCAGCGCCCGTGAAAGTGACACCTCCCAGGGCCCACTTAAAGAGCACCAGAAAGGCTCCAAGAAGGCCCCGAGAAGGCCCCAGGGCGGCACCAAGAGGGCTCCCAGAGGGACCCAAGAGAGGCCCCAAGAAGGGCCCAAGAGGGCCCTCCGCGGTGTCACTTTCAACGCCCGTGAAAATGACACCTCCCAGGGCCCACTTAGGGCCTCAGAAAAGCTCTAAGAAGGCCCCGAAAGGGCCATAGAGAGCCGCCCTGGGTTCAACTCCGCGTGGCGGAGTTGGAAGCGATAACTTCAATACCCTACTGGAGGCCTCTTAGGGGCCCTAAGACGGCACTGAAGAACCCCATCGGGGCTTTTTCAAAGGCAGAGGAGGGCGCAAAAAGGGGCCTCAGTGAGCCCCTGGTCTAACTCCACCTGGCGGAATTGGAAGCGATATCGCCCGGCGCCTTCATGGAGCCGCTCGGAGCTTCCAAGACGGCTCCAGAAGGCCCCAGGAGGGCCCCAAGAGGATCGAACGACGATTCCTGGAAGTGCACCAGTGAGACCCTTGTTGACCTCCGCCTGGCGGAGTTGGAACGACAATTTCCAGTGCCCTCTTGGGGCCTCTGGGGGGCCCCTCAGAAAGCTTTGGGGAGCACAGTGAAGGCCTTCGCAGGGCCGCGTGAGAGCCGTACCAGGGCCGCATGTGTGCGCGGATGGGGGCGACGAGTGCTGACGCTGACGAATATGAGAATGATGAGGGCGATCAAGGCTGGCCCGAAACAAATCCTGGCGCCATTGCAGGCCGCCGATTATCGGCCACGCCGCCAGGACGACGCCAAGCAACAAAACGACACCAACCAACAAACCGACACCAACCAACAAACCAACAAATCGACACCGGCCAACAAAAGGACACCAAGCAACAAAACGACACCAAGCAACAAAACGACACCAACCAACGAAACGACACCAACCAACAAAACGGCACGAATCAACAAAACGGCACTGACCAACCAAACGACAAATCACTTCACGACACCAATGAACAACGCGAAATCCACCGACCGCCAACCAAGCATAAAATCAACCGACACAACGAAACCAACCCATAGAGCCAGACCAACCACTGGATTCGTGAGTCGGGGTAGTCATGGAAGTGAGCCGCTGCAGCCCGCGGAAGCCATTAACAGTGACCAGAGCACCGCAATGCAGCAACGTCCCCGGGCGGCGGCGGGAGTCTTGGATCTCCCGCGGGACTGGAGCGTAGCGAGTTCGTCCTGGGTCCGGTTTAGTGAAGTGAAGAATTTCGGGGTGCTTGCATGGCAAAAACCTTCACTTCACTAATCTGGGGCCCCTGGAGCCCCAGGGCGTTTCAGGTCCCCTCGCTGTCTGGGTAGTCCAGGGGGCGCAGTGGCGGCTTACCAGAGGCCCTGTTCCCTAGCCTCACTTGCTTTCACCCGTGGTGCTCGACGGCCGTCTCGGAGCTGTCTTGTGGCGGTCTGGGGCAATCCCGAAGCCTCTTGGAGCCATCCCAAGGCCCCAAGGCGCCACCAATGGGGGCCCCAAGAAAGCTCCCAGAGGGCCCCGAAAGGCCTACAACATATTGCACGTTCGCGCGAATTCTTTGTACCATTTTGGGGGGTCCCTCTTGGGGCCCTCGGGAACGTTCTTGGGGCCCTCCGAGGGCCCACTGGGGCCCCGGGAAGGCCCCAATAACGCTCCCAGAGGGCCCCAAGAATGCTCCAAGAGGGCCCCAAGAGGACCCCCACAAGTGACAAAAACTATTTGCATGAAGGTGCAACTTACTCGGCGCCTCTTGGGGCGCTCTTGGAGCCGTGCTGGGCGCCACTCGTGGACGACATGGGCTGGGCGACGGCATGTGGACCCTGTCGCTTGGGCCATCGGGGGTGCTCCCCAATGGGGCCACGAAGCTTGTGAGCGTATGACGGAATGGGCTGGGCGGCGGCCTGTGGGCCCTGCCTGTGGGGCCGTCGGTGTAGCTCCCCGTGGGGCCACGAAGCGTGTGAAACGTATGCCGAAATATGCTGGGCGGCGGCCTGGGAAACCTGCCGCTGGGACCTTTTTTTGGTGGAGCTGCCTATAGGGGCACGAAATGTTTGAGGGTGTCATCAATGTGGCCTGGGCGACGGCATGTGGACCTTGCCGCCGGGACCTCCGATGAGCTCCTCATGGGGACACGAAGCGTCTGAGGGGCGTGCCGACATGGGCTGGGCGGCGCACTAAGGACCCTGCCGATGGGGCCTTCGGTGGAGCACCTCACAAGGCCACGAGACTTGCGGGGGATGTGGCGAAGCAGAGACGCGGGGGAACAAGGGGGTGTTTTGATGATGTTGATGAGGATGGTGGTGGTATTGATGATGGAGACGGCGAGAATGCTGATGATGCTGATGATGATGGTGATGGCGACGATGACGATGGACGATGACGACGGAGACACGCGGAGAGCAGGGGCAGATACGCGAAGAGGGAGGACGAGGGAGGGGGCCGGAAGGAATGACGCGGGGCGGTGTCTCTTCAAAACGAAGAACCAACACTGCAATATGGTAGGAAATTTCTGGACGACCCCCCCCGTGGCGCGGTCAATGTCCGCGACAGCATCGCTGGCACTACGAACAAATGATCGAACTCTTCCTGCGACGTTACCCGCGGGGTGGATCAGCCAGGGATGGGGGTCGAAACCGCCCCAGCGCAAAGCAAATGTACAATCCTGAGAAACCCCAGCCCACATCAACCGATCCGCAACAAGCACGCAAGCCTTTGACGACCCCAACGCACGTGACATCGCATAACGCGACGCGCCATCGAAAACGTTCGACGCGCGGCCTCGGAATGACATCGGGCTTCATGGAACGTCGAATGGACAACATGAAAAACCGCCCTGTGGGCTCCGAGACCCAAAATTACTGATTTGAAGGATTTCGGCTCGTCGATCGAGCCGTCGACGGGGCACTGGGCAGCAGCTGAGGCCTTCGCCCAGCGGTCAGCCTCCGCAGTGCGGCCGCCGAAGGCGCCAGAGGCAAAGTGGAGGCAAGCTGCTCCGCGCGCCCGACGGGATCGCCGCCGGGCTCTGCGCCGAGGCCACCGCTGCCGGGCCCGGCGGGCGGGGCCGATTCGGCAACGTCGCTGGCGTCGCCGACCATGCGCTTCTTCGGGAAGCCGGGCAAGGGCTGCTAAATCCGTGGCTGCTAAAATCGACCTCCGGGAAGTTGTCTTCGCCTTCCGGGAAGAAGCCCGTTGACTGTTTCGCGTGCCGCGCCTCATTCCGGGAAGTTGTTCTTTCCTTCCGGGAGGGCCGTTTTAGCAGCCACGGTTTTAGCAGCCCTCGCCCAGCTTTCGATTCTTGGCCTGAGTGCGCAGGCGGCGAGCGCGCTGCTCCTCCGCCAGCTCCTTGTTGCTCCTTGACCGACCCGAGAGATTCGAGGACAGCGCGCTCGATGGTCTGCCCCGCCTCGGCCCTGCGCCGCGCGACCTCCTCGCGCTCGGCGCCCGAGAGCTCGGCGCCGTCGGCCTCGAGGCGAAAGGGGTCGTCGCTGGCGAAAACCTCGAGCTGCGACTCTTAGTCCAGCAGGCGTTCCAAACTGAAGCCACGCCGTGGGACAGCCGCAGGGCCATCTGCATCAGCACATCCTTGAGCCGCTGGAGGGACGTGCTCAGCCAGGGAGCGCACTGCCTGGTGGTAGTTCTCCTGGCACAGCTCAAGCTCCGACAGCGCCGTGATCGCCGCCTGCTCCGCGCGCGACGTCTGCCCCTTGAGCTGCTCTGCGAACTTGACCCTCCTCTCCAGCACCTTCTTCTCTTCCACCATCACATGCTGGGCCTCGCCGACGGAATGTGGTTTGGGCTCAGACGCCTGCTGCACTTGGCATAACTTCCATATTTTACCAGCCTGGCTGCGATCGCCAAGCGTGGCGAAGGTCTGCTGCAGCTCAAAGGGTGAGGGTACGTCGTCGAAGGTGAACTTGTTGACCTTGGCTGGCCCCCTGTCCCATCCAACCCGAGTCGCGCAGCTGGAGCCAAGGCTGCCGCGGAGGCGCACCCTGGCGCTGTGGGGCACACCATGGCCGGTGTTGGGGCCAGATCCCTGTTGCGAGAGGGTTTGGCTGGCACCTTTGGGTGCCTTGCCTGGCTGGCCGCCCCCCCTCTCCAGCACGTTTGGCCGCCCCCAACACCGCCTTTGCCGTAACCTCCGCGAAGGTGGTCATGACCATGGGCTGGGAGGGAACCGAAGGCGGGCAGACTTGCCCAGGCCCCGTGTGTCTGCGGTGGGGCGCGGGGCTGCACGAAGGACAGCGGCTGCAGGCAATGTTTGCAGAACCAGTTGTGGGCGAGGTTTTTCTTGCAGCCACAGTGGTGCCCGCTCCGTCGTCGTCAGACCGCCTCCACTGCGAAGCGTCGCCAGTAGGTTTGCGCACCCAAGGATTACGAGTGAACCCCATCCACCATGGGCGCGATGCCAAGGGGCCACCTGGCCGCAACGTGGCGATGCCCCAACAAGAACTCACAGATGGAGAGGTGGTGCAACAGCAGGAACTGCCGCACGGAATTAATGCGTCGGGCGTCCCCTTGGTAGATGTCGCACAGCGGCTGAAACTCGGTTCTTGAGCCAAAATGGCTACGGACCTTGAGTCAGAATGGTTACGGACCTCCTCCTCCTCCTCCTCCTCCTCCTCCTCCTCCTCCTCCTCCTCCCCCTCGTCCTCCTCCTCCTCCTCCTCCTCCTCCTCCTCGACACCCCTTTTCCCATCCCTTCTCCCTCGCCCCTCCTCCCCCCTTCCTGCACCTCCCCCCTCCTCCCTCCTTCCTCCCCAACCCCACCCCAAACACCTGAGCGATCCAGCGAATGTCGACGACCGCCTCCTCCAGCCTGTCGGACAGGCTGCGCAGCTCCACGCCGTCGGCCTTCCCCCTCAGCGCGCGCTGCAGCTCGTCGCGCAGCTGCCCCAGCTCGCTGCGTGCGCCGCCCTCCGCCGCGTCCACCGCCTGCCTCAGCGTGGCCAAATCGCCCGCGGACGCGAACGGCCTCTCGGAGGACACCACCCGCATGCCTGCACTAGAGGCCTCCTAGGTGGGGCCCGAGCAGATGGGGTCGAAGGATCGCGACGCATCGCCAATGCATTCGCGATGCATCGGCGATGTATCGCCGACGTCAGCGACGCAACGGCGACGGCCTGGAGGGCATCGGGCTCCGCATCGAGCCGCATCGCCGATGCATCGGCGATGCGGCGCGATCTACTCCGACCCGATCTGTTCCGATACCATCTACTCCCCGTCGCTCGGACGTCCATTCCCTGGGTTTTTTCGGTTTCGTGCGTGGCTTTTTCTCGCAGGATGACCCAGGATGCTCCTTAAGAATCCCCGCCGAGAGACAACAAAAAAAACACGCGCCCGAGCGATACCAAGTCTGGGAGGCCTGGATGCACCGAGCCTGGCCGATCCCCGGCCGGGGGCCTGGGATCGGCATGGCCGGGAGCGGTGCGGGCGCACGGCGGGCGCCCTCCGAGCCTCGGGACCTCGGCCGTGCCGAGCAGCTCGCGCAGCGCGTCCAGGGCCGGCGGCGCGCACCCCGGCGCCCCGTCCGCGGCGGCCCCGGCGGCCTCGGGCCCCTCCGCGGGCGGACCTGCGCGAGCACGAGAAGAGGCGGCACGGGCGTGGGCGCTGGGTGCAGAGCAGCTGTTCCGCCCTCGGGGGCGCCCGCCCCCGGGCGACTGGGAAGTCTATTCCCCCACGGTGGTTGGGGGGGTTCGCTCGTCCCCTTTTGTTCGTGGGGCGTTCGCCCATCCCTCCGACTGAACTCCCAAGGCCCTGCAGCGAAGGAGGTTTCAATCTGTCCGGCGTCAGGAAATAATCGAAGGGCATT